TGGGCTTGTATATAAAGGGAAAAATGGTCTTTTGCCCTCATCATGATAAGGAATGAACTAGACCATGGGTTTGGGTTAAACCCTAATTATTGATTGGGTTTGTTTCTGGTTTTGGTTTAGCGTGAGGAGCAGTGTTCGCTACGGATCGAGTGTTATTTCAGTTATCATCAGTAGAGGTGAGTTTCCTCACTGTGTTGATGGGTCGAAGGCACCAATACCGACCCATGGTTTATTATGGTTAGAATGCTAGTTGTCTGCGTGACTCTGCATGCATGATATCTGATATGTATACCGGGCGAGGCCCAATGCCAGGCGAGGCCAGATGAGTATATTATCTGCTAGTTATGTGTATTTGTTTATATGTTACCGGGTACGACCCGATGCCGGGGGGTGGGGAAGATGACTAGTCTGTATGCTATTTATTTGTGTGATTATGGCATGTGTTGTGTGTTTATATGTTTATATGTATACCGGGCGGGGCCCGATGACTGACAGATCTGTATACCGAGCGGGGCTCGATGCTGGACGGGGTCCGATGTCGGGCAGGCCCAATATATGTTGATATGTATGGTATGTGGTATTTTGGGGAACTCACTAAGCTTTGTGCTTACGGTTTTTTAGTTTATGTTTCAGGTACTTCCAGTTCGAAAGGGAATGACTTGACGTGACTGCACTGCATCCACCTAAGTTTCCGCTATGTGATGATTTTGGGATTGTACTCTGATAACTGTTTTTACATTAATATACTTTTGAATGATTGGTATTACTAAATGGTGTTTTATGGTTGAATTAAAAACAAAATTTTTACCTTGAAATTTTGGGACGTTACCTAAGGACTTTTGTTTTTGTTCTATCCAAACATTAAAAAGTGCTTATTAGCAATGTAAAGCACTAAGAAGCTAATAAGCGATTCAAATAAACAATCTCAAACACCCCTTATAATGTAATTTTTGGCTGTAGGTCATTAATAATTTATGTACCAAAACATATTTGTCTAATTGAAACATTTATGGCAATAGACTTTGAATTTTATGCACGTTATTTTGTATATGTAAAGGTCTTTGCAGAAAAAAAACACAAAGTGGGTTTGTAAGCTAAGTCATCTTATTTGAGTTTTAATGAGGTCCGACTCAATTTCGTTTTGTGAAGTAATGACACATTTACTTGCTTCACTAAATTTTAACAAATATTAAAAGGTCTATATCCTTATTTTCAAGTTCACTTTCATAATGATGCTTAAGGCAAAAGGGTCAAATTCACAAACCTAAGTAGAACTCAAGTTGCGCAAAGGGTCAGGCCTTAAGGCCTGACATGCCAGTGGACCTGCGAGTAGGCATCAGCAGGTTAAGCTCGATCAACAGTGGACCTGCGAGTAGGCATCGCTAGGCTAAGCCTGATCAACAGGCCCAACAAGCTTCAGACAAACTCATTTTTCATAGGTATGCCCTAGCCTCAACCAAACTTTTTGAGGTCTACTCGGGCTATACTTGGACCGAGTCGAAGCATTTCAGTTATTTACTTTTTTACCTTTTTTAGCATTGAAATACATGAAGTCTGATGATTAATATAAAATACTTGAAAACGATAAAAATAAATGGAAGTAAGATACTATAACTAACAATATACATTCATATATTTGTGCACTATAAACATCATACTCTAATTTCTTTTAGTTTCATGTATTTGAACATTATAAAAAACAAGTAGGGTGTTGTATAAGTAACATAACTACAATGATACATAAACTAGCGAAAAAAAATATGAACCAAGCGGAGCTTTTAGTCTCGAGGGTAGCACTGATAAACTTTTTTTGCTCGATATCTTCAATGCCATTCAAACCCTTGAAGCAAAATATAGACATATATCAGCACAATGTGTATTAGGTTAATTTTGATAAACGTTGTAACCGAATTCTATAAAGGAATATTTTAATATCAAATTGAGCTAGTCGCTACAAAGTTCTTCATGAGTAATTGAAAGGTTATACATTTAAATTATGTCATTCGAAATGTTCATTAAATTACCATGAATAAGATCAAATAACAAAAAAGGGTTTACTTTTGATTTCAAGAAAATTGAAGGGGTTGAACGACTAATCCCTACAAGTACATGAAATCTACATGGGTTTTAGGGACGAGAACTCAAATTGTTTTCAAGCAGAAGGCTCGTTTTAGATGGGACGTTGAAGGGGACGAGAACTCAATTTTTTTTTCACGTGGTTGTTAATAATAATTTAAGGAAAAATCGCATAAATGGTCTTACAATTGATGGTGTATGGTTAAATGATCCGGTCAAGATTAAAAATGAAGCTTGTGACTTTTTCTCAAAGAAATTTAGTGAGCCTATGTATAATTAGCCCACGTTGCTTAGTAATACATTCAAGAAGATTGATAATAGTGACAGGGATGCTCTCATGACTCCATTTTTGAAATTGAAATTAAGGAGGTTGTTTGGTGCTTCGAAAACGATAAGGCTTTTAGGCCCGGAAGGATTTACTTTCAAAATTTTGAAATTTTTCTGGGAGCTGATTAAAGACGATGTGATTAGGTTTGTTCGTGACTTTGGTGATTCCGACATCTTGGCTTGAGTCTGTAACTCCTCTTTTATTTCTCTTATTCCAAAGTCAAACAAACCTATCTGGCTGAAATATTTCAAACCGGTCAATCTTGTCGGTTGCCTATATAAAGTTCATTTCAAAGATTCTTGCCAATTGCCTCAAAAAAGTAATTAATAAAATTATTAGCCCGGAGCAATCGACATATGTGAGTAGGATAAGTATTTTGGGCGGTTCCCTGTTGCTTAATGAAATTTGTACTTGGTCTAAAAAGGTGAATAAAAAAGCCCTTATTTTCAAGGTCGATTTCGATAAAGCTTTTGATTCTTTAAGCTGGAAGTTCCTTGATTCGATTATGGAATAAATGGGCTTCGAATGGAAGTGAAGAAGATGGATTTCGGGTTGTCTTTCCTCTAGTTGGGCGTTCGTTTTAATTATTGGGTCTCCTACAAAGGAGTTCGATATCAAGAGTGGTGTTAGACAAGGAGATCCCTTATCCCCTTTCTTTTCATAATTTCTATGGAGGGTCTACATGTTTCTATGGAGGTGACATGTAATCTTCACCATTTTAAGGGTCTCTCCCTTCCTAATGGTTGTATCTCTCTTTTGCATCTTATGTGTGCTGATGACGTCACTTTCATAGGAGAATGGTCGAATTTAAACTTTGTTAATCTTAATAGAATTCTTTGATGCTTTTATCTTGCTTCAATATTGAAGGTGGACGTGCAAACAAGTAAGGTTTATGGTGTCGGCATGGATAGTTTGGAGGTGGAAAGACTTACTAGCATTTTAAAGTATGAGATGGCTTCCTTCCATTTTACCTATCTTGGACTTCCAATGGGTGCCAATATGAAGCTTGCTAAGAATTGGTTACTGGTTGTTGATAAATTTAAAGTTAGACTTTATAAATGGAAAGCTAGGTCCTTGTCTTTTGGTGGTCGCCTTACTCTCGTGAATTCGATGTTGAATAGTTTACCTCTTTACTATTTTTCTTTGTTCCGGGTTCCAAGAAGATTATTAAACTTCTTGATAGTATTAGAAGGAGTTTCCTTTGTGGTGGTGATGATGACAAAAAAAAAGAATAATTGGGTGTATTGGGACGTGGTAAATCAACCAAAGGAGAAAGGAGGTATTGGGGTCGATTGTCTTGATGTAGCTCATTTGGCGTTACTTGCTAAATGGTGGTGGCAACTCAAGAGATGTTATGACTCTTTTTGGATTTCGTATATAAAATCTATTCATAATTTAAAGCTTATTAATGGTAAATCATTGGCAAAGAAATCTATAAAAGGACTGTGGTTTGATATCTCGCAAATTGATATGGAGTTAAGTGGTAAAGACATTGTTCTTAATAATCTTTTTAAAAGAAAGGTGGTTATGGGGGATTTAAATGATCTTTTTCCTAACTTATATGTGGTGGAATCTAATAAAGATGGTTTGATGGTTGATAGAGTAGGTGGGGTGACAGGTTCAAGCTCTCGGTGGTCTTGGAGTTGGTCTAGACAGCTGCGAAATGGAAGAGAAACTGCTCAATTCTCTGTTTTATTTATAGCATGCTGAATAATTTTCATTTTACTAATGATATTGACAGATGGCAGTGGGTTGGTGATGTTGGAAAATTGTTTTCGGTGAAAGCTATTAGGAATCGCATTGCTGATTCAGGTGTTATCAATGATCAGGAGTTTACCTGGATTAATTTGATCCCTCTAAAAATAAATTGCTTTGTGTGGAGACTTGTCAAAAATAAAATTCTAACTTATGATAATTTATTAAAGAGGGGTGTTACTTTGAATTCGAATTTATGCCCTTTTTGTAAGATGTTTGAAGAGGACATTGAGCATGTTTTCTTCTCCTGTTCGGTTGCTTTGAAATTGTGGAGCTAGTTGTTAGATTGGTCGTCTATATTACCGTCAAAGCCTACTTCTTGTTCGGTTTTGTTTGATATGGCGAATTCAAGTATTGATGGAGTAAATATGAAGAGGTTGAGGTTATCTCTTGTGTACACAACCTTATGGATCATTTGGAAGGCAAGAAATTTCATTATCTTTAAGAACGAGAGGCGATCAATCATGTTTATGGCGGATGATATTCATGTCTTCACTTTTAATTGGATTAATAGTAGATCGAATAGTAGCAAAATTGTTTGGTCCGATTAGCGTATGTCTTCTATTATGAACTTGTTTAGGTAATTGCCTGAGGTCCTCGCTTTGGTTTTTTCTTTTTATGTTTAATGATATTGCTTGCTATCTGTTAAAAAAAATCTACATACTCATTAAATTAACCCTAAATTTTCGCCTACTTAGGAATAAGAGTGGCTGCAACAAGTTCTATTAGAGAGCCAAAGGAGCCCTAATCATGCCTAATATGTATATCTGTGCTAGTGAGTAAATGTGTCTATATAGTTATATATATTTTTTTCGCAATAAATTACTCTAAAATGTCCAATATCTCTCTTCCCATCTCTGACCTGTTGATTAAGAAAAAAAAAAACCATTATCTTCATTTGTCGGTTTTCTCTGTCAGAACCTCCTTTATTTCTTAAATTTATGACCTTTCAATTTCATTTGGGCTCTGTGAGGAACAAAATCCCTATCGATTTAGACTGTAAACTGTAAAGGGAGTGTGAGTGAAGGGGGAAAATGAAGCAAAATTGGTGGAGGTCAGCTTACAAGCAGAATCACTTGGTTTTCAAGTTAGGGATTTCGATTTTGTTCGTGGGTTTTGGATTCAGACTTCTTTTCTCGCAATCACCCAGTGTGATCCCCGATGTTTCTGATAATAATATTGATACCCCTGTTGCGGAGAAGAATGTGAAGCCGATTCCTTTAGATGTTTCTGAATCTCCCAAAATAGAACTGAATCATATTCATCCCAAAGGTATCCATGATTGTATTTTAGCTAACCTTTTTTTGTTCTTGTACTGTCGGTCTAGATTTGAACTGTTTGCAGTTTTGATCTGCATTTACTTGTGTTCCTGAAATAGAAATGGATTAAAACTTGCGGGTTTTACTATTTACCCAATAATGCCATCGCCCAGAATAAATCTCGAATTCTCGATGCATCTGTTCAACTATATTCGTACATTAACTTTGCAAAATTACTTTTTTGGAACTGATTCCGTTTCTTGGAAATTGTTGTGAAGATGATGGATCAGAAAAGTGTGATATTTTGGATGGTGAATGGGTACCATATTCCCGCGGAGCACCATACACCAATAACACCTGCAGATGGATCGAAAGTCATCAAAACTGTATGGGAAATGGTAGGCCGGACACCGGGTACATTAACTGGAGGTGGAGCCCTAAATCTTGCGAATTACCTCGTTTTGATGCGAAGAAATTTCTTGAAACGATGAGGGATAAATCGTGGGCTTTTGTTGGCGACTCAATAACTCGGAATCATCTTCAATCCTTCATCTGTCTTCTATCTGAGGTACGACTTTCTGTGGTACGTTTCTTGATGTTTAGCTTCCAAATCCAGAAATATTTATCTGTATCTTGTCTCCTCTAGGTAGAAGATGCCGTTGAGCTTTTCCATGACAAAGATTACAAGAACAGAAAATGGCAATTTCCATCCTACAACCTTACAGTCTCAGTTATTTGGTCTCCTTTTTTAGCAAAAGCAGACATTTTTGAAGACATCGATGGTGTTTCATCTTCAGAAATAGAACTCCATATTGACATTCTTGACAAAACTTGGACAGAGCAATTTCACACATGGGATTACGTGTTGTTCTCCTCTGGTAAATGGTTTATCAAAACAGCAATCTACTTTGAAGAAAACACAATTTTAGGTTGCCATGGTTGTGAAGGAAAGAACTTCACTGATCTTGGTTTCAATTTTGCTTATCGAAAAATCATAAAGAATTTATATGATTTCATTATGAATTCAAAGAAACAAAGTACGATTATTTTCAGAACATCAACCCCAGATCACTTTGAAAATGGGTCATGGTCAACCGGTGGGACCTGTGATAGAAGGGTGCCAGCTAAAGAAGGTGAGTTTGAGTTGACCGATTTGAACATAAACCTACGAGAGATTGAATTGCCTGAATTTGAAAAAGCAGAAGCCCGAGCTTCTGAAAAAGGGAAGAAATTGAAGCTTCTCGATGTGATGCCTCTTTCATTGGTGAGACCAGATGGGCATCCAGGTCCATATAGACATTTTTACCCTTTTGCAAAAGATAAGAAGGCTAAAGTTCAATATGATTGTTTGCATTGGTGTTTGCCTGGGCCAATTGATCAATGGAATGATTTGTTGATGAAGTTGGTGGTAGATGATTGATGTAATGGTTTGTGAATAGTGTTGAGAACTCCATTGGTATCCACTTTGAGGTTTTTTAACCTCTTATAACTTTATAAATATATGTTGTTTCTACCAATTCTTAGGGTTTAGAGGTGTATTGTTATTCCTTGTTTTTTAGTAGAGAAATCTTAAATGGTTGTAGATTGAACAGACGTATGCTTGTATAATATGGGCTTAATGGAGTATTTGTGATGTTTCTCATTCGTCTGTTTCATTTTCTTTGTCATATGAATCCCGTTCTTCGGTTGAGTATGGTTTGGTTTTTGCCTAAAACCAAAATCGAATAGAAAGAATCAAGTTTCTAGCTGTCAGCAAATATCAAACGACATTTGTGTTTGTTCGGGTTTGGGTTCAAATGTACATCGTAGATTCCCTTTCTAATTTTGTTTTTTCCATGCAACTTGGTTAAAATTTGACCAATTTAATCTATGAAGGTGTTAGTATATTGCTAATGTGGCATCTCATTGTACATCTTAATAAAAATCGTAAAATAATAGGAAAAAAATATTGTTGATAATTTTAGTATCATATGCATTTTGGGTAATTGGAATTGTAGGAGTGCAAATGAGATTCTAGACTATGATTGTATAAGAGTCATGTGGTGTAAAGTGTACATTCATATAATGCTAGTTTGATGAGATTAATGAATGACTATGATTGTATAAGTGTCATGTGGTTACAGGGTCACTCTCCTTAGATCTAGGGACAACACCCTTACAGGGTTAGGCAGTAAAGGTCGTTGCAGTAGTACAAGATAAATGGAGTTTACACACTACAAGTGTAGTTGAAAAGATTGAATAGAAATGATGATACTCATATAAGTCATTAATTTGGTACATGCTACTAAGGTTAGTCATTGATTGAGTTAACTATCCTAGCTAATGCTAAGGGGTCACATGTTGCCGGGGTTCATCATATATTTTTATCATTAATTGTTAGACTTACATACCTATAACATGTTGTTTGAAGTAATATTATTGAAATAGATGTTGGAAAAAGGGGGTTGGTGTTGAATTGGCGGGCCATTGTAACATATTCACCACCGGTGGATGAATCGAAATATGGGTATGGTTGAAGTGTTGTGTTTAACGCGTACAAACTGATAGATAGCGTTGTAAAAATCCCGACAAGTCTCATATTAGTCCCTAGTCGCTACTTGATGGACTGCGATGCTCCTAACAAGTAATCTATGCCTAGAAAAGGAATGAATCTGTAGAAACCGATGAATTTTTAACAATTTTAAGAAGTTTTATCTCAATAGAAACTATTTAAGGAATGGTTAGTGGTGTATTAATCATATTAACCTATTTTGTTATGATATTAGTGACATTTACCAAATTTTTTATGATATTAGTCGTATTTAATTTTTTAAAATCTAATGAATTTACAACTAAGAGTCTCCGACTAGTTGCTGATTAGGGTTAGGCTAATACCTATACGGTTTAGATTAAGCCATGAGCCTATTTTGTATTCCTATTTATATGAGGTTAAATCGTCAAAATGATTAGACAATATTAAAGCATTCTACACTACAAAATGATATCAAAGTTTTAGGTTAAAACCATACCGTTGACCACAACCCGTAGTCGTCACTAAACTAGAGCTCCTTCATCTGCTTCTTCCTCCTCCTGCCTCCTCCTCGGATGGCCCTTACCTCCAAGCAGCCTTCTCTCTCTTCCTCGACTGGCCTCTTTTTATCCGGATCTCTTTTCCGATTCAGCCTCTTCCGATGTTGCTATTTCCTCCCTGCGATGACACCTTTTCCACTGCGCAAGCTCTAATTTGCAGTCTTCTCTCTTTAAATCAACATTGTAGTCGCCGATCTCTTTTCCGAGTCAGCCTCGTCCGGTGCAGCTCCATGCCTTTTTCTTTCTTGCTGTTTTTTTTTCAGACTGCTCTATCGCCCAACACATGATAGTCGCCCTTCTCTCTCTCTCTCTCTCTCTCTCTCTCTCTCTCTCTCTCTCTTTTCTCTCTCTCCAACAAAGCGACCTCTAGCCGCCATTTCTTCTCTCTTCTTCTCCGATGAGTAGTTATTGTTAGCCGCCAATCGTCAGAGCTCTGCCACCACTATTGCTATTGTCTTCATCTATTTTTTATGTTTTGTTCTTTTGTTTATTTTTCTAGTATAATATTCTCCTCCCCGTCAAATTGCGAGGAGTTGTTAGTGATTAGGATTAGATTAATACCCTCATTATGATCATGCAATACCAAGAGCCCATTTTACATTCCTGTTTATATGAGGTTAAATCCATGATCATGCAATATGAAACCGTTCTATATTATAAACAAGAAGAAGGGGGATGGGGTAAATTGGTATTTTATAGACATTTAACGATTCATTTAGATGGTAACAATTTTAGAGAACATGCACTCAACTTTTAGAAATTAGATGTACAAGGCATGTCAAAAATTGAAGACTTTGACTTAAATTTCACATGGTGCAAACCACACTGATCAAAATTGCAAATTACTCTTAGTTTTAATAAAAGTTGAAAATAATAGAATTATTTCCATAGACTGTCTATAAAGTATCCACATTACGTAGTTTTTTGTCAACGCATGGAAAACAATATGGGTCACCCCTCTTAAATATATGAGCTTCCTTTGTGGGGAAATAGACTGTAAGGAAACTATGAGTGAAGTTGTAATGAAGCAAAATTGGTGGAGGTCAGCTTATAATCACTTGGTTTTCAAGTTAGGGATTTCGATGTTGTTAGTGGGTTTTGGATTCAGATTTCATTTCTCACAATCACCCAATGTGCTTCCTAATGTTTCTGATAATAATATTAGTACACCTTTTGTGACGAAGAATGAGAAGCCGATTCCTACAGATTTTGCTGAATCTCCCGAGTACTTAAATCAAATTCGTCGTAATGGTATCCATTTCGTACTTTGTATATTGTCGTTCATTTTGTACATATTAGATTTTAGTTTTCTGTTGCTTCTATCTACAATTCCTTATGGCCACGGGATAAGATTTGTGGATATTAATGTAATAAAAACAAGGCTCGTATTTTTAGTATTTACACAATAATATCATAGCCAGAATAAATCTGGATGCACATATCTGTTCATGTTCAACCATATTCATACATTAAACGTGTTTTTTGAAAAAAAATACAAACTTTCTGGAACTGAATGTGTTTCCTGGAAATGGTTGCGAAGATGATGATGAATCAGAAAAGTGTGATATTTTCGATGGTGAATGGATACCGAATTCCGGCGGAGCAGCATACACCAATAACACCTGTAGATGGATTAAAAGTGATCAAAATTGTATCGGAAATGGTAGGCAGGACACTGGGTATCTTCACTGGAGGTGGAGTCCCAAAGCTTGTGAATTGCCTCCTTTTGATGCCAAGAAATTTCTTGAAATGATGAGAGGTAAAACGTGGGGTTTTGTTGGCGACTCCATAACTCGGAATCATTTTCAATCCTTCATTTGTCTTCTGTCTCAGGTAAAGCTTGTTTGAGTTTCTTTCTTGATATTTAGTTTTGAAATCAAGAACTAGTTTATTATATATTTTCAAAAGAACAGTTATGATCTCGGTGTTTTTGTATCCTGTCTCCTTTAATTAGGTAGAAGATGTGTTGACTTTTTCCATGACAAGGATTACAAGATCCAAAAATGGCATTTTCCATCGTACAACCTTACAGTATCCGTTATTTGGTCTCCTTTTCTTGTAAAAGCCGAGGCTTTTGAAGATACAAACCATATTCCGTCCTCTGAAATACAACTCCACGTTGACATTCTTGACAAAATCTGGACCCAACAATTTGACACATGGGATTACGTCTTGTTCTCCTCTGGTAAATGGTTTGTAAGAACAGCGATCTACTATGAAAACAATACCATTCTCGGCTGCCATGGCTGTGAGGGAAAGAACTACACTGATCTTGGTTTCAAATTTTGCTTACCAGAAAGTCATAAATAATCTTTTTGATTTCATTATGAATTCAAACAAACAGAGTACGATTATTTTCAGAACATCAACCCCGGATCATTTTGAAAATGGGTTGTGGTCAAGTGGCGGGACTTGTGATAGAAGGGTACCAGCTAAAGAAGGTGAGTTTGAGTTGGGAATATTTAATAGAATCCTACGCGAGGTTGAATTGCCAGAATTTGCAAGAGCAAAAGCTCGAGCTTTTGAAAAAGGGAAGAAATTGAAGCTTCTTGATGTGATGCCTCTTTCGTTGGTGAGACCAGATGGGCATCCAGGTCCATATAGACATTTTTACCCTTTTGCGAAAGATAAGAAAGCTAAAGTTCAGTATGATTGTTTGCATTGGTGTTTGCCTGGGCCAATTGATCAGTGGAATGATTTGTTGATGAAGTTAGTGGTAGATGATTGATGTAATGTCTTGTGAATAGTGTTTAGAACTCCATTGGTATCCCCTTTGATGTTTTTTAACCTCTTATAACTTTATAAGAATATGTTGTTTCCACCGATTCGTAGGGTTTAGAGGTGTATTAAATATTATTCCTTGTTTTTTACTTTTTTAGTGGAGAAATCTTAAATGGTCTTAGATTGAACAAGATTGTATAATATGGGCTGAATGGAGTATTTGTTTCTTCGATTTATGAATCCCATTCTTGGGTCGAGTATGGTTTGGTTTTCCCTAAAACCAAAATCAAATATAAAGAATCCAGTTTCTAGCCTATAAAAATCGAGTTTGTTCGTTTTTGGGTTCAAACCGGTTTTTTTTTTTTTTTTTTTTTTTTTCAAGAGAATGAATCTTCCTTTCATTTCACTTTAATTCTCTACGACTTAGGAGAAATTTTTTTTAGGGAATATTAGCATGGATTTTTTTGCCTTTCTCCTCTTATTTTTTCTAATAAATAAACCGAAGAACAATGATATTTTCTTAATCTTCCCACTTCTTTTCCTTTCTATCATTGGAGTCATTGGACTCTGGAGAGTAGAGTTTGAGTTATATTATACTTCATCCGTCTCATATTTATTGTTCATTTTTGACTTTTGAAGTCTTTATTTTTTAACTTTGATGTTAAATATTTTTTATTTATGTTATATATTACTTGATGAAATTTATAATAATGAAAAGAAATTTAAAACACAATCCTCCATTCATATAATTTATATAAAGTATTATATATCAGAAACAAAAATATTTATGGTCAAAATTGTAGAATAAATACTGAAAAAGTCAAAAATAGTAGACAATAAATATGGGATAGATGGAGTATAAGTCTTTATCCACAATATTCAAGTAAGAAAACTCATACATTTTTAAATTTATGTTCATTTAATAAATAGTATACATACATTGAGTTGAAGGGTCGATTGACTCATTTTATAGTTGAGTTAAAATCACCAATTCAAAACACATTTTTTTATGTGTTTAAGTTATTTTTGGTCATTTAATTTTTGGTTATATGCTCATTTGGTCACTTAACTCATTTTAAGTTTTAAAATGTCATCGAACTTGAAAATTTGTGTCAACATGGTCATGAAACATTTTTTTGGTCACTTAACTTTTGAGTTTGTGCTTACCTAACGATTTAACCAAACAATTTCACATTTTCAACCAAAAATCAGCAAAATCCCAAAAGTCTCCAAAAACCTATAAACGGGAATTCAAGGTCCATTATCAGTAGAAAAATGTTAAGAATTAGGACACGTGTATTTGAATAGAAAAGGAATCGAAAGGAAGAAAACGACAAAACCTAGAAATCACGGCATGCAAGCCTCATATGGGCCCGAATCCCGAAAAGTGGAAGAAAAACGGAGGTGTACGTCGAAAAAGGGGGGGGGGGCAACATGCGCTTTATACACCTGACCCCAACGCGCGCGGCTCACCCGCTTGTGTGGCGTTCATCCCCAAAAAAATTTGAAATTTACCTTTTAAACCCTAAACTATTTTACATGATCCTTTCCAATTTAAAACCATAGAAAATTTACCTAGAATACCCATTACTTAGATCAAATGAGCTCTAGATGCACCAAAAAGCCATAAACTAGAATAAAGTTCAAGAAAAACAATAAACAAATAGCGGAAGAATAAAAGCGACATAAATCGACAAACCTACCTAGAAGTCGATAAGCAGACACGTTGCTAAGAAATGAGATTAATACAAACACTGCCCAGAAGTAAACCACGAACCGTCAAGCAAGATAAGAAGAAATCGATCATTTAGTGCTAGGATAAATTAAGGAACTCATAAAAGAATTACAAGAAGTAACAACATACCTACCATCCTTGGGCGATATAATGACAACTCGAAGGCCAAATTTAGTAAACCTTACCACCATTAAGGCAATAAGAGAAAACAAGTCACGGGCATCGGAAGAAATTCCAAAGTTAACAAAAAAGGGAAAGGGCTCTAGCAGGATAGCTACCAACAAATAAGCATCTTGAAACACTCATAAAATATGGTCCCAAAAATTTTATTTTCAAATCATGAATAAGCCAGAGTTATTAAAATCATCTCATCAAAACATAAGTCATAGTAGTTCAAAACATCGTAAATGGTATATCCATATCAAAACATATGTCAAATATATAAGAGTAAACCTCCCAGGCTAAACATCATGGTGTGTGCAATGCAGTCATCCCGAGCTCTTCCCTTTTCTACCAGAAGTACCTGAAACCAAAACTGAAAACCGTAAGCACAAAGCTTAGTGAATTTCCCCCAAACTACCACATAGCATACATATAACATGCAACTAGGAGATTCGGCCCCGCCCACACTCGGATAGCGTGCCCCGCACTATGATATACGGGCCCTACCCACACTCAACTAACTAGGAGATACGGGCCCCGCCCACACTCGGCTAATAGTGAGATACGAGCCCCCGCCCACACTCAACTAACTAAGAAACACATACATGTATCACACAGACAACAAGTATAACCAAAACATACCAATCCATTCCATATCCATACTCAAGTAATGCTAAGATACGGGCCCTCCCCATACTTAGCTACTAATCAGCACACATAATATACACGGACCGGCATTCGTGCCTTCGGCCCGTTCAATCCTGGAGGAAACTCACCTCAAATGTCGGATGATAGCTGAACCGTCTCTGCCCCAGAATCAGCTCTACTCACTCCCTGAACCAAAACAATCCCTTAGATACCATTTCATACTCATAACCCCTTTAGGTTCATCTACAGTCAGAATCAAGGTCAATGTCGAAGTCAAAGTCAATGCTCCAAGTTGACTCAACTCGTCGAGTTTACCCCTCAACTCGTCGAGTTCCCATGATTCACAGAATCGTGAAATGGCGATCCAACTCGTCGAGTTTTCCTCTAACTCGTCGAGTTCTTCCTTTTAACAGAATCGGGATACTTCGACCCAACTCGTCGAGTTCATCTATGAACTCGTCGAGTTCTTCAGTCTGTTAGCCCTTCTTAATGCATTAAGCCCTTATTCTTTAGATCTACACCCTATACTCCAGATCTAGACTGGAAATGCTTCTAAAAGGGTAAAGTTTCCAACTTTACCCATTAATACCTTTCCTAAATGGATTAAGCTCGAACCCTAACCTAAAAAGGCCAAAGTCTTAATCCCAAACACAACCAAAACTACAAGATAGACCATGAGGTCATAGATCTGGACTCTAAGGACAAGAAGATCATGTAAAGTCCCAAATTTCTCTTCATGCATGGACATTAGAAGCTCCAAAAGGCCAAAATGATGGTCTAAAGATTGAATGGGACTTCCATGGCCATAAAGTTGGCACCTTTATGCCATGAAAACCCCTCAAGACCTTAGATATGAAGTGTAAACCCATTTGGGACGTCCAACTCCCAAGGACCATGATATTTGGACCAAAACAATCAAAATAACCCTAAAAGAAGATCTAAACAACTACAAATCAAGGTTCAAGCTTTATACCAGCAAAATGTCGTGGATGAGGCAAGGATTCTGGATCTATAAGATCCTTCTTGTGTCCTCAAGCTTTTCCTTCTTCCAATGGCTTCAAGCACACACTAAAACACTTAAAATGGCTCACCAACACTCACAATAGCATTAGGGTTTTGAGATCTAGGGTTAGGGACTTGGAGGCTAGAAATGAGGCCAACACCTTGGGGTTAAGGTGTTTACATAGGGCGCAAACCCCGGAAATTAAGGTTTCATATCTGCCAGCCTACTCGTCGAGTTGAGGCCTCCCAACTCATCGAGTAGGTTACTTAAAATACGCGACCCTTATGATCTCTAATCGACGAATTTGGGGCTCCCAACTCGTCGAGTTTCTCTATATAATAGAATAAATTATAAGTTAAATACATACCAGGAACCAAGCGTTACAATTCTCTCCCAATTGTCTCAGACTTCGTCCTCGGAGTCTGCTATCTCAAATAATTCTGGATAATGCTCTCTCATCTCTTCCCCTGGCTCCTAAGTCCACTCTGACCCCTTGCGGTGCTGCCACTGCACCTTCACCAACTGTACAACCTTGTTCCTCAAGGTTTTCGTTTTCCGATCCAAAATCGCTACTGGCCTCTCAACGTAGTTCAGGCGGTCGTCCACCTGAATATCTTCCAAAGGCACAACTGCGTAATCATCCACTAAACACTTTCGCAGCTGGGAGACATGAAAAGTACTGTAGATCTGACTAAGCTCGGCTGGAAGATCAAGACGATAAGCTACGCGGCCCACCCGAGCCAAAACACTGAACGGACCGATGTACCTGGGACCCAGCTTACCCCGCTTCCTAAATCGGATGACACCCTTCCAAGGTGACACCTTCAGGAGAACCATGTCTCCCACCTGAAACTCCAAGTCTGACCGGCGCTTGTCGGCATAGCTTTTCTGCCGACTCTGAGTAATCTGGAGCCTGCTCCGAACCTGCTGGATCTTCTCAGTGGTCTTGAGTACCACCTCAGTACTCCCCATGACTCTCTGACCGACCTCGCCCCAACAAATCGGGGTCCTACACTTTCTCCCGTAGAGCATCTCGAAGGGAGGTCGATCTATGCTAGCGTGGTAACTGTTGTTATACGAAAATTCCGCTAACGGAAGATACGTATCCCAACTCCCACCAAAATCCAATACGCATACGCGTAGCATATCCTCCAGAGTCTGAATTGTCCTCTCACTCTGCCCATCCATCTGAGGGTGAAAAGCTGTACTGAAATGGAGACGAGTACCCATCTCGTCATGAAACCGCTTCCAAAATCTGGAAGTGAAACGAACATCTCGGTCTGATACAACCGACACCGACACTCCATGACGTGCCACTACCTCGCGGACGTAGATATCGGCTAGCTTCTCAGCCGATATACTCTCATTCGGGATGAAATGTGTACTCTTGGTCAACCGATCCACAATGAACCAAATCGAATCCACTCCACGTGCAATCCTGGGAAGCTTTGTGATGAAATCCATGGTGATGTCTTCCCATTTCCACACGGGAATCTCCAATGGCTGCATT